GTCAACCGTGACCATGGGACCTGTAAAGGGCCCGAAACGTCGGTTTGTTTGAAAAAACAAATATACGCGATTTAAATCCGGAAAAATAGTTTCATTCCTATGTAAAACAAAACATTTTCTCCTTCTTGTATTTATCGGCAGTGCTATTTTTACACTTCGCACATATCGAGATTTCGTCTTAGTAATTTTAAGGGCTTTAGCTGTTTCTGTTATACAAGAAGTATTGTGGGAGCAAATGTGAGAAAGTACAAGCTTTCGGAGTAGACATTGCAGAACTGTTATCTTGAAAAGAACGTATACAACAATTATGACGAGAGTTAATATGCTATAATAAGAAGCTCGCAAAAATCTCTCAAATAATCTTACGTTATTGCTATATATAATCACAAAGGACAGTGATAAAAGGTGAATTAACATAATTTAAAGATTTGAAATTTCGGGTTTGGGAATGAACGATAGAATCATGTAGCGAAACAAAATACTTGGGGCAGTTGATGAAAATGTGATCTGTGGTTCCTTTATTTTTTCTTTTTTTTATGATACCAACCAAGTGACGGGACGAACAAGTCGTGCGCCTGGTAGTAAGCCACACGCCGGCCCATAACTGTTGCAGTGTTACTCAGCGTTTTAAATCATAAAGATCTGAGGTCACCGCCACTGCGCCCGACACCCTGAGACATGGTTGATAAGTCTCATGTGCCTGTAATTTTACCAAAAAACCCACATTCACAAAGCGACCTGTCCCTTACCCTAATTTTGACTAAATATACAGCGCGTACCGTCAATGCGTGCGTACCGTGCTGTGAACTTGAGTGCACTGCGAGACCGCGAGTTTATCCAAATACAAAGCGCGTGGCGGGCGTGCACGCATACAAGCCAAGCCACGCTTCCTATTTTGTATGGAGTTACCGCAGTACGGAAGACATTGTAATACTGTGGAGTTACACTACTTGACTTATTAAACCATAGAAGGAGGCGGGCGTAGCGACATTAACTTTTGCAATAGTGCATCATGTCGGATGGTGGTACTAGGGGGGACAAAGTCTCTCTAGTACCACACTGGTAGTTGTCGGTGGTATTAGTGGGAACAAAGGGTGATTTGGATATTTTCAAGTAGTAGTTAGACGTTCATCAGATTTTGAATCTGACTATAAGACAGTTGTTTTGCTAAGATGTGAATTCTCCTACCCGTTGTACTTATTAAAACTTAATTTCAGGATGTCAGGCACCAGATAATAAGCCTTGTGACTCGTCTGACGAAATAGAAACTGCTGTGACTGAAAGAGCTACTGTGGAAATAAATTTGGTTTCTCCCACAATTCTTTTATCTCTTCTCTTCCTTTTATTATTTTTATGTTATTAACTGTTATTAATAGCACCTGTCATCTATTTCTGGATCGAGTCTGAGAGTGGGGGATCAGAATACTGTAACACAGGGTATCCTAGTACAAGTTCCGCTCTGTCACAATGGTCAAACACGTTGTCATTTCAGTCTTTGTATGGACCTGTTACACGTTCAATATCATTGTGATTGGAAATAATTGTTTATAAAAATAAGTACCGAATGATAGTCCCTTTAAACTTAACAAAATGTTCACCTGTACGTCAATACGTCTATATTCAGAGATTGAATGAAGAAGTGTAGATGGTAAAGGTAAAGGTAACAAGAAATATTTTATAACAAGAATAACAAGAAATATTTTAAGAATCGAAGAGAAAATAATGTGAAGAAGTCTAAAGATGTTTAATATTGTTTTTCAATTGTGTGCATGTACAAATATACCTATATTATAGCGATGGTTATTAATTTGAATTTGTACCTATAATGATATACTAACCAGAATAAAGTTGGTCCTGTATCAAAAGTTTGGATGGAATCTTTCTCGCCTCTATCCGGTACAAATGTAAATTTTAAGCTTCAGGTAGAATTAGTACGCCAAAATTTAATCCTGAATTCTCTTCTCAAAGTTCACTCGCTTATTAAATACAATTCCTTGTTAGTTAAGGGTAAATGCTTTGCCATTTGTTTAAGGGTAACTACACCTTTACACATATATTGTTTTGTTTCCTCGGGGGCTATTTATTAAACTACATTAATTCAATATCTTAGTGTATCATCATTTATTTACGCGTGACTGTAAACTCATCATAGTCAAATAGCACGTATCCTTGGATTATGACATTCAAAATTAAATAGTGCATGCTACTACATTTGTACGATCTGTCAGCTTTGTTAAAGTAGAGTTATATTCTTCAAATCGCTGGCTGCCTTACAGTTTAATTTTTATATGGAAGTAACTACATATAAAAATATGTAATGTAATTCCTTTAGAATGGACTATAACCGTGACAGCTACAGGAAACAAGCCTAGAAGATAACTATGATAGTAACTGCTCGAAATGAATGCCGCCTTGATGGATGCATTGATTCGGTCGTTTTCGCAAAGAGCAAGTAACGGCTGGAATTTTACACGGATACAAATCCATTGGAAGCCTGGAGCCTGCAGTTCTATTTACTTAGTACGGTCCAGTATTTTGCTTAAGCCTGGTAGAAAAAATTGGTTACATTTATTTTATATTTAGAGTTTCTTTCTGTAACTACGATTTATTATTATTATTATTATATTTCTTTTAGACTCTCGCCTCTCCCAAGGCCTAAAAGATTAATTTTGAATTTTTAAATGGAAGACGCGGGATTTCCCGGCAATGGCACAGTCGGCCGGGGTCAGGGACTCGGGTCCAACAACCGGCGAACAATACGTGCCGTATCGAGCAGGACCGCCTTCTGCATTTGTGCTGGAAGCGACACGCCACAGAAATCCAAACGCCTCAAGCTGTTAGAAAGGCTGACTGGAATTATTATTATTATTATTTCGGATAGGTATATATTTTTTTAGACTCTCGCCTCGCAATTTTCAATTTTGTTTAAACCGGATTCATCCTGCATGAACAAAAATCTATACACACGACAAGTGCAAATGCAAATTAATACAACAGTGGTATAATTGGCCCGAAGGCCATTCTGGGTAATTATAGTTATTTCTTACCCTCGATAGTGTAATAATGTGGGTTGAGTACTTTTGTAACGTGGGATTTATCTTCAGAGAACGACGAGCATTCGTTAAAGGACTTGTCATTAACGGCGCATGTATACTGCCGCTTGCAATCAGATTTTGGTGATTGCAACGAATACCATCCAAAGTACGACAAACGTTACCGTTTTTAGACCTAGTTCGCTGAATAAAAACGTTCAGATGACTAGCTTACAACTGCACGGATTTTTACTAGCCATAGGCGTTCACATACCGACGTATGTCTCGCGACGTAAGTCTCGTCACCTGAACTGGCCGTATGGACTCCGTTTGACGGAAGATTTACAAAAGAAGTCGCAGAGTTGAGCGGGTTTCCAGTGGAGACCGGTGTAAGACTACAACCACAGGGTATATTACTTTCCTACAATACATTATTTCCCCTTATTATCCAGAGATGAATTATAAACAAATTAGAGTGTTAATAAGGGTGTAGAAAATAGGATGAAATAAAATTCGCTTGGCGTTTACTACGTCTTAAAAGATTGAAATATATTTTTTTACACAAAATAACAACGGAAAATGTTGTTTTACTTTGCCACCGCCCAGTGGCAGTGGCTTGCTGTGGAAGACAAACAAGTCGCTCATCTGTCGTATCTCACTTCCCACTTACCTCTTTTCAGTGAAGCTCTTTTCGAGTAGAAGATAAAACTATTTTACTCAGTCCCGCTAAGCTCTTTGCCGCTCATTACCCTCACAGTGGAAGGCAGGCATTAGTCTATGTCAACTTATTACGAGCTGTATGTCAATCAAAATTTATTCTTGGAGTTTCGATTTTCACGTAACGGCGAAACATTGCAGAGAATTCGCGTACAGCGGTTGCGATGGCAACGCGAATAGATTCTCAAACATCAAATTCTATAGACTTATGTGTGCCCCCATTGAGCGATACTAAAACTTTTAATACGGAATAGCTAAATATAGCTATGCAAAATGTTTAAGAAACTTAATGTAAATCTAAATATAAATACTATGCCATATATCGGTTTCCTACTGGAGCTCAGCAGATATTTTTATTTTCTATTTTTACTGGAGTAAATATTTTCTATTTTTTCTTAGTTATGTGTTTAAATGCGTGTGTAAAATTTTGTAGCGGCATTTCACATGGCTACTTGTATTCGTTATTAGGTTTTGATTTGTTTGATGCACTTGGAACAATATTTGGCATACACATGCAGACGCTGACAAATATGAACGTCTACGCATGAAGCCAAATAATGTATATGACTATAGTGTGGACAGTTTACTTGCGCATTTGCCTATTGCGCTCTTTTGACGTGTGTCGAGAAACCCACCATCGCGCGGTAACGCGAGTTTAGTGTTTGCTGTATTTGTCGAATACGCAAACAAGGCAAATACTTTTTCACAGATGCTATCTACGCACGGTGATTGTTTGACAAATGATAATATACGCATACACAAACAGCCATGTGAAGTGCCTCCGTTATAACTGAATATTTTTTCCACTGACAATATGGTTTAATTCGACCTCCATTATTTCAGATCAAATCGAAATTTCTGCAATTCAAAATTCGAACTTCGTGATAACTGCCTCTGTGGCCACACGGTTACCATGCTGGACTCCCACGCTGAGATCCTAGGATCGATTCCCAGGCCGGGAGTAATATGTGTATGACCTACATTTATTTCTCTCGCTAGTTTGGATGTAATTTGTGGTTGTCTGTGTGTGTGTTCATGGCACCCGCGATACAGTATTTCCCTAGAGCGGGCCTATGAGTATGTTTTGCGTTATTATTATTATCCGTTTAATTCTATTTTTTAAACTAGCATTATTTTCAAATTTCATGCACGTCGGTTGAGAGTTGAGAGTAATACATTTTACATTTTCTTGGTATGTACAATTTGAATGGATACCAAGAAAGTTTCTCTCGCTTTGATAAAACTGTACATATTGACTGACGTATCAACTCAAAGCCAAATCTGCTAAATCTAAAAATATGAAATTTTGACTGCAGGTTCATTTTACGATGTAAGCACCGCATTAGAAGGGATTTTCCTACACACGTCTCCTAAGGGGTGAAAAGACATAAAATCGATGAATGGATATTCTAAACCATTGAAATACGTGACTGAAAGACGTGACGAATGTATTCATTAGGTTCGCTACAATGTATAAAAACGTGTTTCAATGTATTTGGAAAATTAACCCTTAATAGGGTGAACCAAGGAATGAAATATATGAGAGTCCCATAATTTAGGAAGTTAGTAACAAGGAAAAATGGAAATGGATAGATGGAAAGTTATGATGATCTTTAAGGTCTTCATTAAAATAAGCAAGTACGTGTTATACTTTGTTTTTAAAAAAAACAACGTTATAGGAGCGAATAATAGATACAAGATTGTTGTCAAGTATGGTATCCATCCACGTCTTTACAAAAACATATTTTTCACTTATATTTATTTACTTTCGAAGTTTTCAAGTTGAGATATCTGTAATAAGTGAAGTTAAATAATGGTCGTAATAGATTATCCTTTAACTTCTCTTACAATAACATTTAGGCATATTTTTGCATAAAAAAGTAAAATTTTATTTTTGACGTTACATTCCCAAACATAATATTATTATTAATAATTACTACTAATACTGTAAAACGATACATTTATTGATTTTGAAAAAAGGTTGAAAGACGGTTTTTGCGTCAAGGCGCACACGTGCCCACACACGCACGCAAGCACGCACGCACGCACCCACGCACGCATGCAGTACAGCTCCTTGTGAGAGTTCGTCGAGAGAAGTACTGCCACCTTACCTATTTTTGCTGCAAAGCAATAATGTGGCCATTACTGGCTTCCGGTTGAACCTTATCGTCCACAGAATAACAGTAATGTATATGCATGTGGACTTCGTGCATGTCTTTTCTATAAACGTACAGGTAAGTAGGCTTTGACATATTTTAGAACAGGATAATTGTTACTTTAAATTAATCATGTCGTCTAAGCGCCGGCGTGTCGGCGACGGCGTTGAGATGACAGAGTGTACTATGCCAGCGGCCAATGAAGTGGCAGGCGCGCGGATGAAGGGTGGCAAGCGTTGTTTCCATGAAGTTTCCATGTCCATGCGTAGCAGTTTCAAGTCGAGTAAACTCGATGTCCACCTGTCGTCCACTATTTTGAAGCTCTGAAATACAGTTTGTGCTACCAAACTTAAAATCCGTTCTTCAGGTTTAGTATTGAGGCGTTAAATTGACGGTAAGTGTTCAGCTCCATGATGTCAACAAAATATAAATAAGTTCCATGTCGATGTAGATTCTAGACCTTGTAAAGAGTGGTATTGGTTTACATATTCATGGTTCACACGGTCCTGAAAGCGATGAAGTAGCAAATGAATTCAGCCAATGCCAGTAACTTGTAATTAAAGTAAAGTTGGAAGAAGAATCTTTTTATTACCAAGAACTTTTTTTTTTCAATACATGCAATTCTATTACATCGTTTTTTTAAACATCGTCAACAGTAGTGATTGTTAATACAAAGAACACTAAGAAAAAAATGTTTTGAGTCGGTTGGATCCGAACCAGCGTTTTCAGCATACCAGGCCGACGCTCTCCCAACTGAGCCATGGAACGTACGTGTGCGTGATAATAATAATAATAAGTATCTCGACCTGGCGCACGAGATTACCGACATGTGGGAAATAATCCCAATTGTTTTGTCCGCAAATGGGTTAATTCCAGTCAGACTTTCTAACAGCTTGAGGCGGTTGGATTTCTGTGGCGTGTCGCTTCCAGCACAAATGGAGAAGGCGGTCCTGCTCGATACGACATGTATTGTTCGCCGGTTCTTGAACCTGAATCCCTGACCCCGGCCGACTGTGCCAGTGCCGGGAAATACCGCCTCTCCCATTTAAAAATTCAAAATTTATATTTTAGGCCCAAGGCCTATTATTATTACTTACTATTATTATTATTATCTATTTTAGATAATTAATAATAATAATAACGCGCACACTCAACATAGCCCCGCACTAGGGAAACCATGAGTCACGGGAGCCATGTACACAAACATAGACCACCACAAATTACACCCAAATTCACGAGAAAAATAATGTAGGTCATACAAATATTTCTTCCGGCAAGGGAATCGAACCTGAGACCTCTGCGTGGCAGTCCGGTATGGTAACATTGTGATGCTCAATAAACTTCATACTACAATTATAAAGCAGTGATCATTTTTTTGTTAATCACTTGTAATGTCTATACAGCCGAATAGTAGTAATATCGTCCAAATAAATCCTTTTTGCCAATATGTTTTTATATAGAATTCGAATGAAATATTCCTTCACGTTTATTGATATTAAATTTTAAAATTTGATTCAATGCTATAAAACTCAATTTTATGTTCTGCAATAACAAAGCACTGGAACGATATTTGTGTAATAGGTGCTTACATATAATATTATGGAACTCACCTGAGGATCTGCAATGAAAGGTTCTTTAATTCTGTTTGTTTTTATTATTTCTATTTCAAACATTGTCAAAAGCAGCGTTATAAAAGGTAACTGTTGTATATGATGTACATCGAATCTAAGCACTTTATGTAATTAAAAATGCACTATTCGAAAATTAAAAAATAATAATACATTATTTGCCTTGTTGGGAGAGCGATAGCCACGGTATAGCGAAGTCGCTGGTTCGAGTCCGGCCGTATCGAAGGAATTTTCTTTAATGTTTGTTCGATCTTTGTGTTGACAATAAACTAGTGGAATATTTTCACAAAAAAAGTATGAATATCATGACTAGAAAAAACAAACAATCATAAAATAAATATTGAATTATTGACCATTGATTTTAAACTTACAACTTAGGCTAAAATTCGCGGTGTGGACCTAAGGCCGCGTTCAAGATAGCAAACAAGAAAAGTGATGGTGGAGGTCACATACCACGTAAATTTCTTCCGTGGTGGAGATAATATGCCTACAATGTTATTTTTTAATTTTCAGAATGTTTGAAAAATATTTTAGGAGAATGTATACAGCCATTGGTAAAACACCACAAAGTAAAAACGACGCCCTCTATAGCGGCCAATGTAAATGGTATGACTATTCAAGTAAATAATGTAATCAGCTGTAGATAAATAATATTCTAAAGGAGTAGCGTTTGTTATTTTTGTTTCTTTGTTGTATTTATTTATTTGGGAATCTCTGAACCGGAATTATCCTATTACCTCCGTGTTATACAGGATACACTACATATTATATACTACATTTTAAGCGATGATAATTAATGATGACGAGAACGACGAGATGTTTGCCAATGCTGTCTATCCCGACGTGCTTAAGTATACAAGACAGTGCCCAGTGTATAAAAGTAAGGGTGCCAAAACATCGATCGACAACTGTAGGCCAATATCGATAGTACCTAACATCTCCAAAATCATAGAATCGATTTTGTCACAGCACTTAATGCACCACCTTGAAACCAATACTTTACTGACCGACAGACAATTCGCATACCGACAACACATGTCCACTACAACAGCAGCATGTAAAATAATTGACTGTATAACCACAGGCATCGATGGCAAGTGTAAAATAATATGGCATATTCTGCGACTTGTCCAAAGCTTTTGACGTCATAAGTCATGACCTAGTCATAAAAAAAGATAATGTGCTACGGTCTACGAGAACGTGGTAGTGACCTACTGCGATCGTTTTTAGAAAACCGAACACAAACGGTTGAAGTAATGTCGGGTGGAAAAAGGCTGAGGTCGGAGTCTGGTAGCGTGACGGTTGGGATTCCACAAGGATTTGATTTGCGCTAGGGAATACCCTTTTTATGACCTTTATAAATGACCTACCATCTGCCGTATCGGAAGGTCAAATATATCTGTATGCTGATGACACAACAGTAGTAGTCAGTGCGCGCACATACGAGCAACTCAATAAAAAATCACTACAGTAGGCGAACAACTAGAAAGATGGTTTTCAGGAAATGGTTTGTTTCTCAACGTTAACAAATCAAATGCTATGCTCTTATGCTCTGGTAGGCGCGTTCCGAATGTGAGTATCCAGTTTCCTATTCCGATGAGTGACAAATGCAAATTCTTGGGTTTTACGTTGGAACCTACCTTGAATTGGAAACAACACGTAGACTCACTATGTGATAAGCTGAGTGGTGCGGTGTTTGCTCTGCGTAAACTAAAACTGTTGGTGTCTCGTAATGCGTTGAGGCAGGTGTACTTTGCACACTTCCACTCAACTATGACTTATGGTGTTATTCTGTGGGGCAATTGTGGGTGTTATTCTATGGGACAGACGCTGATAGGATAATGCTTCTACAAAAACGATCGTTACGAACTATGGTTGGCATAACCTAGAGGCAATCCTGCAAGGCGCTGTTTGATGTACACCGAATAATGACCCACTACTCACAATATGTTTTTGAGGTCATTATGTTCACGCGGAAACACTTAGCACAGTTTGGGCGAGTGGAAGTGATAGGTGGGTGCCTCAGTCGTGCGGGACAATTCCGAGCAGTACCGCGTCGCACTGCACTTCACGACAAAAATCCGCGGGTTATAGGCCGACCTACTATGAACATCTACCTGCCGAACTAAAAAACGAATGTTGTGAGGAAACGTTCAGGTGCAGACTGAAGAACCTTTTACTGGAAAAGTCCCTTTACTCAGTAACAGAGTACACTCAAAGTACATAATAAATAATTACATTATTATATTTATTAATGAATTTGACATTCATCGTATCATTATACTGTAATATACATTTATTAGTTATTAAGAATCCATATTGCCATTTCATGTATACACTTGACATTGTTCGTTTCATTCAGTTATTTATTAGTTTAATTAATCATGTTAATTTTGTATATGTACACTATTGTGTACTTATGACCCACTATTATATAATTATTTCTTCATTATTTTGTAAACTGACGTTCATTTTTCGAAGAGTAGTATAAAATTACATGTAATTTTTTTATTAATTACATGTATTTGTATGAAATTTGTCATGTTGAGAGAAATACACTAAACTAAACTAATAGGGCAATATACCTACAGTCTATTCTGCATCGCTGAAGGGAATCAAATACAGCCCAGTATTGTACAGAATCGAAGCTTTTTCGTAGTGGCGGTTATCCTTGCAGCGGCGGAGTTATCCTAAATTCCAGTTAAAGGCAAATATACCTAAAACTTACTACTTTTTCAGAAAAACATTGAATCATATAATTTAACTAATCACGTATAACTAATTAAATTTTTATTGAATTGATATTCAATTATTTTTTGTGAAATTACTCCACTAGTTTGTTATAATTATTAATACAAAGATCGAACACTCACAAAAAACACTCAGAAAAAAATCCTTCGATCCGGACGGATTCTATTCTTTGATGAGTTCGATCTTTGTATTAATAATTACAACAAACTAGTGGAGTAATTTCACAAAAAATAATTGAATATCAATTCAATAAAAATTTAATTAATACAGTGAATAGCGACATCTCTCGCCAGGACTGGTAGCTGTAAAGGTACTAACTGGGTGATAAATCTGTAATAGATTTCTCATAGATGGCGCTACGACAAAAAAGTCGTTGAAAGACCAAGTACAAAGACACGACGCAAGCACATAGAAAAATTCGTGAGGTCCGTCGTTCCGTGGCTTAGTTGGTATAGCGTCTGGCACGGTATGCAAGAAGACGTCGGTTCGAATCCGACCGGATCGAAGGAATTTTTTCTGAGTGTTCGATCTTTGTATTAATAATTATAACAAACACGTATAACTATTTTTACTTTGTAAGAGCCGATAAATAAATTGAGTGATTGGTTGATTGATTGATTGACTGTCATTTTACTTCTTAACAGACTAAATGACGTGACAAAAATAAATGATTGATTTGTCAAGGGTTCAACCAAAGACACAGATATCGTTGAATTCAACTAGCTGTATGTGGTGAAACATCATGGTTTATTGTCAGTGTCAACATTGTAGAAAATGTGCGTGTAATTTTTAATTCAGGAAGCCTATTTACGGATAGTTAAAATTGAAATTGTCACAGGACATTGGCGAAATCGCCATTTTTTTGTATAATTTTTGTAATAATATTAAACTACCGTACATAGTTATTTTAACTTGACATTGGCAAAATCATTGATTATTTCGATGGAGCCATAACATTTAAAAGAAGAAGAAGAAGCCTATTTACATATTTCACAGGCACTCTCTCATTTCAATTTACTGAATTAAAATTGAGAATGAACGAAATGTATAAATATTTAAAACCCGATCGATTAGAAATCGATTCGACGTCGAACGTTTCATATCAACAACAATGGCTGCATTGGAGAAAAACATTTGAAAATTTTCTTCAGGAATCAAGACCAACTAGGGAAAGTGTAAAGCTTAAACTTCTGATCAATTAAGTATCACCCACAATTTATGAAATGATAACTTCTTGTGAAACCTATTTGTGCGCTATTACAACGCTAGAAGGTATCTCCGTGAAACCAAAAAGTATTATTTTCGCGAGACACAAACTGACTACTTGTACTTAACAACTTGGTGAGTCTATAGATCAATATGTACAAGCTTTAAAACTCGGTAGTCAAATACTGTGATTTCAAAGCCGTTAGTCACTACTCCAGAGAATGAATGACTGACTTGATTCACGGAGCATTCATAGCTGGTTTAAGATCACCGCAAATACGTCAGCGACTATTAGAAAACCTAACATTAACACTGGATGAAGCTCAGAACAAAGCGCGCGCTTTAGAGTCCGCGGTGATTCAATCTGAAAGTTTTAATGTTCCATCTCATGCTGATGCTTCATCTCATGTTGCCGTTGCGAGCATTAGCGTAAATAAAAATAAGGCTTTATTTTTATCAATAATATACATGAGATAATCTAGCTGAGAAATATTACTACTGCGGAAATCTTAGACGTCTCAACGTCGGTTTTGCCCAGCCGCTAACAGCACGTGTTTAAAGTGTAGGAAACGCGGGCACTTCGTTAAATCATGTCAGAGTCAAACTTCAGCATTTACTGCAAATGCAGAAGAGGAAGATTCGATTTCGTCTAGTTTATTATAGCTACAGTTGGCTTGAACAGATGTGTAATCCCAATAAAACTAAATGGGATAAATGTCAAAGCTCTAATCGACACTGGGAGTACAGCAAGTTTTATTGATGAAAAAGTTGTACAAAGGTACAATATTCCAACACGTTCATGAAAACAACGTATCAATGGCCTCTCAATTATTAAAATCTCAGAAAACATCCGCCAGTTATGCGTCTATACAGTTAAAAGGAAATGTAAATCTAAATACGCTACTTCGCGTCATGGAGAATTTATGTTCTGATGTTATAATGGGACACGACATCATGGGGCAATGGTTCTCATTAGAAATTAAATTAGATGCACCCAAACCCTCTTTGCCTATATCTGCATTAAAAGAAATGAAAATATGTAACCAGTACACCTCTTTCCGCACCTAAGCCTTATTTGTACACCTATAGCTGTAAAATCAAGAAGGCACTCCACTGACGATTTGGTGTTCATAGAATTTGAAATTCTAAATCTCCTCTCTGAAGGAATAATAGAAGAAAGTACACCATCATGGCGGGCCAAGACTCTGGTAACCTCTGGAACGCATCACAAGAAGCAAATAAATAGATTATTCGCAAACAATCAATAAATTCACATACATAGATGCATACCCTCGTAGAACAGTTCCCGTTGAGTTACATACAAAAGAACGCTTTTGATGAGTTGATAATTATTATATCTAAGGCATCTCTTTCAGCTATTGATCCGAAAGAACCTTTCACTGTTGAAACTAATGCTTCAGACTTATCTATTGCTGCGTCTCTTACTCAAAATGGGAGGCTTATTGCATTATTCTCTAGAACACTCAGTGACTGTAAAAAGAAATACTCAATTATAGAATAGGAGGCTTGTGCAATAGTTGAGAGCTTGAAAAAGTGGAGGCATTATCTCCTTGGTCGTAGATTTAATTAACAGACTTCAAAAAAAGGAGGAGGTTCTCAATTTGACTGTATGTTCTTTTTATATATGTTGCGCGATAACTCCGGTATTTGTGAACCAATTTTCATGATTCTTTTTTTGTTGTAAAGAGGGTACCTCCAAAGCGTTCCCATTTAATTTTGAAGAAAATCATCCACCTCTAAGGGTGCTGTTCACGCATGAAGATTCATTTTTATAAACAGCGCCTACATTTTAGTATCATGAGCAATTATTTTAATGGTTGATTTTGCTATTCTTTATCAAGGCGTTTTTCTCTCTATATACTTTGGGTAGTGAGAACCGATTTTTATTATCTCCCCGTATAGTCCCGAACTAGGGGATGAATCCGGGTTTGCGCACTTTACGGTAACAGATTTCAAAAAAACTTGACAAATAGATATAATAATTCCACGATAGAAATAATTCCACGTACTTTTGAGGTCGGTATTTTTAGTACTCTGTACTGAGATTATCTTATAACTTATCAAAAATCAGTTGCATTTATGTTGCAAAACCACGCGGATAAAATAAATAACGATAAAATTCAAAGATGGAGACTAGAGCTATCTAGTTATAATTATGATGTGCGATATCGTTCTGGCAAGGATAACGTCGTTGTTGATATGCTATCGCGACAAATTTGTGGTGCAATCACAACAGATAAGCTCGTCACGTTACATCGGTCTCATTCGGGCGTTACTCGCCTTACACACCTAGTCAGACAAAAGAACTTACCATACTCTATTGAAGAGATAAAGAAAGTTGTATCAAGCTGTCGATTTTGTTCGGAAATAAAGCCTAGATTCTTAAAATGTTCTGGAAATCTGATAAAATCCTCGGCTCTTTTTGAAAGACTGACATTGGATTCCAAAGGACCTATACCAACAACTACTAATAATAAGTATTTGTTGACGATTATTGATGAATATTCTAGATTTCCTTTTGCTTATGCTTGTCCTGATATGAGTACAAAAACGATTATTAAATGCTTGACCGATATATTTTGACCACGGATCGTCATTCGTGTCTTCAGAACTAAGAGAGTTCCTTAATAGCAAAGGAGTAGTACTGAGCCATCTCGCTTCCTATAATCCACGTGGGAGCGGTCAGGTAGAACGCTTCAACGGGACTCTCTGGCAAGCCATACAACGGGCACTCCGTGATAACGAGCGACCGATTACGATGTGGGAGTCTGTACTCATACAAGCTCTCACTCCATAAGATCGTTACTATGTACGTCAACACACGAGATTCCACACGATAGCATGTTTACCGATTCTCGCAGGTCAACATTCGGAGAATCGATGCCCACATGGCTTCAGCCAGGCAATAAAATTTTGAAGAAGAACTTTAATAGAACGAAATACTACGAGATGATAAACAGCCGTACATAGCATAATTCACTACCATTATAAATTGTAACGTAAAATGATGTTTTATATTAACGTACAGGTTTCGTATTGAATAAATGAAAACTATATTCAAATATCAAAGCCGTCTTCGCGCGAAAACGGCTCGCCGGCAGCCTTGTTGACCGGTAATGCGCGGGGCGTGGTGCGGTATCTAAAGCTAGGGAGGGGGAGAGTGTCCGTTCTCTTTACTTTTTGTTCTCTGATACTACTATCCACACACAACTACATTACAGTGCCTACCTCCAAAGTTTGCCTGGACAATAACCAATTAAAACATTTCTTACGGAAAGTACGTAATGACAAAATATGACAATCTCGCACAGGCGGGGAAAGATCATTCCACACCTTTGAGGCGGTTTATTTAGTCCCAAAGTATACAGGGTTTACAGTAATTGATAGATACACCGAAAATACCTTACAGCTTAGCTTAAGACTGTTAAAATTCACGCAAAATATGCGCCTTGACGTCGAGTTGCGGATACATAGTACACAAAACAAGTACATAGAAATACGTATATGTCCCAAGTAGTAGGTACCTACCTAAGATTTTTTTTGATACCAAGTAAGCGACATGCATGTTCATAGCAGTTGCAGTGCCACTCAGAGCTTTAAATCGCAAAGATCTGAGGAGTACTGAGACATTAAGTTGACAAGTCCCATTTGCCTGTAATTACGTCAGCACCCTTACCCTTCAAAACCGGAACGCAATAACGCTCATATTACTTCTTGGCGAAAAAAATAGATAAGGTGACAGTGCTTCTTTGGATTAACTTGTTCACAAGGAGCTCTACTGCTACTATAGATAAACTATTTACTGTATCATTCACCTGAACATTGTTTGCTTTTTAAATTGTATTTGACCACTAAGGGTCTTGTATAGCAGACTCATTTATAGCAGTCGGACGTGTTTAAATTGATGGAGTATATTGTACATATTTGTAAATAAGTACTGGGTACACCCAGTAATTTCGAAAATTCTCGTACCCGATTTCTCGAGTTGTCCTAGACATTTAAATAAAATCGTATATAAATATAAATAAAAACACAATTTACTTTATTGAACTTTTCTAAATAAGTTCTGGTCCGGGTGTTCCGAGTAGTGCCTCAGAGTGAATTCCATTTTCATTACATTCGCGGAATCTTTTAATCCAGTGCCCACAGTGCATACCGTTGGGCTACCGAGGTTGGCTTATTTGTACTCTGATTCGTATGAAATCTACAAATTTCTTTAAAACGACCATATTTTCATAAATCAAATTCCCTTGAGATGAAATATTTAGTTTATATAGTTGACATAAAGTTCTATATTGCATTGCTATGTCCAAAGTCTGCCTTTCAATCAAATATGCCTTATTGTTGAAAAGCTGCCGGCGATAGGATGCGACGAGTGACGCCCGGTAACAGGATTTTTTTAAATAATATCTAGTGAGGGGTCTGATGGTAAGCTACACGCTAAATCGCAAAGATCTGAGGCGCACTGCCACTGCGCCCATCACCCTGAGACATAAGTTGACAGGGCCCATGTGCCGTTAATTTCACCAGCACCCTTACCCTTCAAAACCGGATCGCAGTAATGCTCACATTACTGCTTGGCGCCAGAAATAGTAAAGGTGGCAGTACTTCCCTGGACGAACAATGACCTCTAGTGCTACTAAGAAATGTACACTTATTATTTAGTAGAGAATATTTTGTTTACTGTACTGCATGTTATAAGGTGCGCCCACCGCCGCTTGTTATATCTTTTTTTAAATTTTTTGTTTTAAAAAATGTAACCTTATCTCGAAGAAGATAATACTTATATTACATTGCTCGTTTTAATGCATTGCGTTGCCTTGCTGCGGCGATTTGAAGCGACCCTAAGAATGATCAGAAACAATCGCGTAACCTCTTAAGTAAATTTTTCAGTGATTAAAAAAGATGATTCGAGAAGAGACTCGTGAAGAGACTTGAGATGAGTTTCCGAGGATATTTTTCTTGTCTCGAAGTTGGCCACATTTCTCGAGACTTCACGAGTTGAAAAATCTCGAGCAGAATCCCTAACAGGGTTTTTTTTTTTTTTTTTTATTTATTTAATACTTTTACAAAAACTTAAACATATTACAAGCAGCTGTAGCTCAAAAACCACTAAGGGTTTATCTGTCCACAGACTAGACAGGGTGGCAAACTATTAGGTACCTTTTGGTTAGTTTGCCTTTGGCTGCTCAGTGGTGTTGTGGTGCGGTTTTGTTTTTTATTTCGACAGTGTATATTATACTAATGACATAGATTTCCTAATTATGTTATGGTTTTTCAGAATGCAACGAATATGGAAAATGTGTTGAAACAACTACAAAAGAATCACTTCGCGGTGGTATGATCAATTACATGCTCGAAGGGGGTAATTTGCTTCAAGTACTACTACGATAATTATACATACTAAGAATATTTAAATTTTAAAAATAGTAGAAAGTACCCGTACAGTGTAAATTTTGAGTTTCAAAATATTAGTTCCTTTGACAATTAAAATTTTTTACGCGTTTTTTCGATATAAGGCCTGGAACTCACATCAATTTTTTTAAGAGAAAATCTGAAAAATATTAAAAGTACTATATTTTTCTGTGTACTTTGTGTTTCCAAATAGCAAAAAAAAAAGGAAATTATTTATAAGACCAGTCTACAATTATTTATTTTTTTGTTACTGAATTGTCTTGTTTTACTCAATAGATAATTCAACCTACGATTACAAAGACATGAATTGGGAGGTTCTTTGCAAGATCCAACCCAATGGATGGAATTGTGGCGAGAAAGGTTATCGTTACACGTAAGATAACATTTTCATCAATAGTTACGTCGAACGCACTTTAGTGCGGTTTCTGGTTTCACAATTTTGGTTGGTTTCACAATCTTTAAATCATCTCAATTGTGTCAATGGTAGGATTTTAGGTATGGGTTTGTACGTTTGGTATTCTGGTGACAGTTGAGAATAGTGGCCTGTCAGTGGCTATTTATTTATATTCTGCTCTTAAAGAGCGAGGCGAGTCGGTGGCATGTCGATGGCTTGGTGTATTAATATTCCATATAATTATATTTGAAGACTAATTTGGTGAATTAACGAGATAAAAATTTATTACTAAGGCAACATCGATCCTTAGATTTCTCTATTTAGACTCTACTGCCATTGTAACTAGATTTTAGCAGAAAAATAAATATTATCATAACATAATCTCAGTGGAGTCTCAATGGAATTACAATGAACACTGGTTTCAAGAAAATTAGCTGACTTGGTGCCCTGATGATAAGCGATAATGTGACATACGACGGTACCTGTTATTTGAAAAATGCCTATCCACTATACTTTTCGGGAAACATAGACGCCGGTTGTGTGGTTCATTCCTTTGCCGTATGACAATACATATGTATGCATTAGGAAGGAGGAAGTAAAACGCTGGGGGTGAAATCAAACTGAAAACTTCATATGCACATTCTTCAAAATGTATCCGACAGAAAACTGACAAACAAGCCACTTTTCTGCAGTGGTCGATTTTGCGGCTTCGATCGGCTGCTGCCATCTATGAAACGATTCTGCTAAATACATACTGGCAACCACGGAATAAAGGAGTGGAAATGGTATCAAGTGACATTACTATGAAAACCGGTGTCGCCACACGCACACACTTGTGAACGTAATCTTACATATAGGGCATTGAGTAAAAGTTTTGATTGGATATTAACATAGGGCGCACTATAAGTTTCCGGAACTGGCCACTTACATAAACAAAATTTAAAAAGTAATTACAACATTTGAAAATCGAACTCTTTGGCTGTAGAATACAGTTTGTTTCATCTGAGTGTCATTTGTTTTTACATTCGTCATTTTAGAAATTGGTTGTCTACATCACCATGGATCATGGATCACCATCACCGTGAAAATTTTTCTTAATATGATTTTCTACGACTTTAAATGTAATTTAACAGCTCAGCGAAGCTTCGTTCGGCTTCAAACTCCTTTTGGCGATGAAGCACCATGCAAGATGACTATTTATAGCTGGTTACCAGAATTCAAACGCGGTCGTGAAAATCTCAGTGACTAATATCGTGATGTTTCGTGTGTGATCAACAAAAACATCGATGCTGTGCGCCGTATGATCAAAACAGACAGGCATGTTACATACCTTGAGATTCGGGCATCTTTAGGCATAGGCATGAGTCAAATACAATCAATACTACACAAACGTTTGGGTGTGAAAAAGCTGTGCTCTCGGTGGATCTCACACAATTTGACTGAGGCTCAAAAAACGGATCGCGCGCGGAAATTTGGTGTGGAACATAGTAATGGGTGACGAAATATGGATTTATAGTTACGATGCCGAAACAAAGCAGCAATCAAGCGTATGAGATGTTTCGAGATGAGCCGAAACCATCCAAAGTGGCGCGCGTGCAAAGTGCCTCTAAGCGGATGAGTCAGAAAATATGTAAAAAAGTACAATAAAGCAAGTTTTGAAGATTATCCCAGTATATATTTATAAAAGTACCTCTCGCTACGCAACACGAGCTACGTCCAAGTCTACAGTACCCAGCTTTATCTGCCTGTTGCTTCAGCCCATTTCTCCTTTAAAAAGGAACCGGCGAGAAACTAAAAAAATCAGTAATAAAACTGCAAATGTGTATCATGCATGAAACTAAGAATTCAAACTAGTGAAGGTGATGCATAATAAGCAAGTAGGGAGATAGAAATCATGTTGACGAAGGAAAGCCAATTCCCAAAAATTCTTCATTTGATATACCACGAGCTTACGTGCATGGTAAAATTATCGATACTGTACCTCTCCTATCTATATTTACTTCATATCGTTTTTGCTTAAATTGAAAATTAATAAAATAAACTTAAATTAATTTATACTAACTATAGGTAGCAATTTAATACCCGCGCTATTGTGAATGTCGAAACCAAAACTAAGAATTTTGATTACCTAAATGGTAATCAAAATTTTTAGCTTTTAAATACCTGTAAACAATTATTTATGTTTACGCACCGCTATAATAAAAAATGTTTTACTAAACAAAAACCGGGTTTTTAAATACAGTTTCTAAATATCGATAATTTGATTACAATGCGCGAACTCAGTACCAAGTGCAATAAGTCGATAGTGCAAGCAATTCATTGAGCGTCATTCGAATTGTTCTTTTGATGGCGGCAATGGCTAGCAACCAATGTAAATTGTTATTAACGGTTTGCAAGAAAATATTTTTGTTTCGAAATATCAGTATTGTATCGTTCAAAATATTAGAAAATACAGAGTTTTAAGTACTTACCGATGAAATGAAATCACTCACGGACGACGACGCCGACCACACTGTGATCCGGGACTCTAATGCGAAAGTCGTCGCGGTTCGCCAGGCATTGTAGCTGGAAAACAGGACGCGACGCGACGCACGCTTTGACTCTGCGCCAGTGTGAGTTGAAGCTCATAGGAACATCTGCTCATAACAAGCTAGGTAACGCGTGCCCGCCCACTACCCAGTTTGTTACTAGTATTTATGTGGTCTGTGCTAGTAACCTTGGATTTAGTTGAAAAGCGTGCGTTTTACACGACTCGGAAATAATAGAAGTTGCAGAGAATTGCACGATTTAATTCCGCCTTTCCAGCATCGGGGTATTAGATGTAGGGGGTTCCTTCCTATAATGTGGATACTACAAGAATTCGCACGAAGTGTTCCGCTTCTTCTGTAAACGGTGGAACTTGTGCTTTATAGAAATTTAAAAAGGTATGAAGTACTGCTTGAACTTGTTTGTATACCTAGTTTTTTGACAGCAGTTTTCGTCAAGCACTCGATATTGTGCCCAAAGTTGAGGTTGGATGATAAGTCTACACCAAGTCCTCCGAGTCCAACCCAAGTAGTACAAAGGGATTGAGAGATAAATCTAAGACGTATACAGAATAGTCTACAACATAATGTTAATGAGCGTTTTCTGGGCAATGGCCATTTCCATTTTGACGATAATGAAAATTGTTAGTTAAATTGTTAAAAAAAATATATTAAATATTTAAAAAAAAAATTGCATTTCATAGTAATTGTAGAAGTCACCGGTATAACATGGTCTATGGGTTCTCTAATGAAAGTCTGTCTATCAATCTGATCAACGGAAAACACTGAATAATTTTGTTGTTTTATTGCTATGGCTATACGATGCCACGTCTGGTGTTGTACCAATAGGCAAATGACGTGGAAGTTCATCGTGTTTGCGTAAATATAAAAAAATCAGAATTGTGTTTAATTCCTATGAATTGCTGGGCCTCACCCCGGACTTTGTGGTAGAAATAGTGAGTTCAACTAGACAAGCGATAAGTACCTATCCGTTCTTATCTAAAATGTTTTGTCAAAATTTATAATGAATCATGAATTTATATAGAATTATTTATTTCATATTATCAGTGTCACAATAGTAAAATAAAAAATATGTTATGTTAAGGGATATACGTAGTGTTAAGGGATAATATGACCGTCGCTGACCCAAACAACAATGATGAATATAAAATAAAGTAGTATAACTCTGCTTGTCTAAATATATTGAAACGTTTCAAAAGAAACTCATCGACACTGTAGAATTCATTATCCTATAAAAGGTGTTTTAGCCGGGTATTACGTGGGGTGCACTATGTTTCCGGAGTAAATAAGAAAAAATATTACAAATGGTCAGAAATGATTTTATTGTTTCTCAAAATATTCTCCGTTAGCGTTAATGCACTTTTTCATATATTCGAATGAAAAAGTGCATTAACGCTTAAAAGTGCATTAAAATACCATACTAATCTATGGTGAGTTAAAGGACAGTTTTATACAAATGAACCAATTTTGAAAACATTTATGCGCCTCCTCCGTGACAATCTCCGAAACATATTTTTCATACTCTTCGACAGCTTCTTCAGGTGATGAAAATCGTTGACCGCGTAACTGGTTCTTAATTTGTACGTGTGATGGCTCATAAGGTCAACGTTGTTCACCTTCAAAAATTCATTTGATTGTCGGGCCGTATGAGAACTGGCATTATCGTGGTGCAAGCTGATACGGCGTTTACGGTTATTTTTGCGGAGTTTTTCAATAACTTTCGGCAAACAAATGGTCATGTACCAATCACTATTCACGCTACAACTGTTCTGCAAAGCAACAATAACCACGTGTCCAGTTTTATTAAAAAAAGAAGCCATCATCCGCTTAGAGCACTTTGCACGCGCGCCACTTCGGTTGGTTTCGGCTCATCTCGCTTTCGAGCAGCAATCGAGCGTATGGGTCTTTACCCATACGCTCGATTGCTGCTTCGTTTTGGGATCGTAACTATAAATCCATGTTTCGTCACCTGTTACTACCACTCCAAATTTGACGCTCTTTCGTCGAATCTGGTAAGCATGGCATTGCACCAAGTGACGCGATCCGATTTTGAGCCTCAGTCAAATTGTGTGGGATCCACCGAGAGTACATCTTTTTCATACCCAAATGTTTGTGTAGTATTGATTGTATTTGACTCATGCCTATGCCTAAAGATGCCCGAATCTCATGGTATGTAACATGCCTGTCTGTTTTGATCATACGGCGTACAGCATCAATGTTTTTGTTGTTCACAGCAGGTCGCCCGTCTAGGGTGACCATCACGAAATTCGTCACTGAGATTCACACGACCGTGTTTGTATTCTGCAAATCAGCTATAAATAGTTTTCTTGTATGGTGCTTCATGGCCAAAAGCAGTTTGAAACCGAGCGAAGCTCCGCTGAGCTGTTAAATTAAGTAAAGTCGTACAAAATTATACCTACTACGAAAATTATCACGAGTTAAATCCATGGTGATGTAGGCAACCAATTTCTAAAATGACGCCACAATGTAAAAACAAGTGACAGTCAGATGAAACAAACTGTATTCTACAGTCAAAGAGTTCCATTTTCAAATTATGTAATTACTTTTTAAATATTGTTTATGTAAGGAAGTGGCCAGTTCCGGAAAATTGTAGTGCGCTCTATGTAAACGTTCGTCGTGTGTAACACTTTTCAGGTTTGTGGGTAGATGTTCGTAGAATCGGGGACCTATTACCCGCAGATGTAAGAAGTACCTACTAAAGGTTTTGTAGCAGCAGAGCTTCTTGTGAAAGAGTTCGTCCAGAGAAGTACTGCCACCTTACCTATTTCTGCTGCCAAGCAGTAATGTGAGCATTGTTTTCCGGTTTTGAAGGGTAAGGGCGTATTTATTCGACACGAATGTCATCGCGCTCACCCCGAGCGGATTCTGCGTTTTCGCCGCGCAGCGATTGCGTGCGTCTAACTGTCATGGCAAAAAACGCTATATTTATTTAGCTTTACGTTTTAACTTAAATGAGCGCTTCGGGCCTGGCTTGAATGTGATTATTCAGTTGTATTATTGAGAGGAATTTAAATGTTGTTGCCCAATAAATAGAATACAGATTCGCCATTAATGTACTTAAAGGCGTGGTAACTGGGCGGTCGACGCGCCGCGTGAAAACTTTCGCCTCGTGTAACTGGGCGCTTAGGGTGTTGGTGAAATTTCAGGCACGTGGGACTTGTCAACTTGTCTCAAGTTGACAGGCGCAGTGGCAGTGCCCCTCAGAAGTTCGCGATTTAAAGCTTTGAGTGGCACTGCAACTGTATTCGCCAAGCGTGTAGCTTCAGTCACTTGATATTATAAAAAAAAGTTAATTTTTATTTTATTTGCGTTTCAGTTTTTACTATGACATTAAGCTCTATGGTTGCAAGACTGCAGTAATAGGTGTAGCATGTGAACATAACCACAATAGTTTCAATACGCTTGCCGATTGTACTGCGATGTGCAAAGGTAAGTGTACATAGTCCGTCATGACAAGCCACAACAAAGTAAATAAACGGCTTAGACTATTATTTTTTTCCATCCTCTAAGGTAAACTGTGATTTAACATTTATTCTAACGCTTATTATATTATTCTATGGTACTATGGAATGTCATCTCCCGGATGAGGTGTATTATGAGTTGTTTGAAACCTTTGCCTATGTATCTGTGGGTCTAACTGTCTACTTAATCATCGAGTATATAACCGGCTCGATGACTGTAATGTTCCTTTGTTTTGTTTTGTGGCGATAAATAAAGATATTTATTATTATTACAAATTTAATTTATGTATAATATTTTTAACATTTTATTAACTTTAAGAAATTTCGTCAACAAAAGGATTCCCAAGAATCCTTGCCGAGCGTAAAACATTTCAGGGCTATTTGTCTTGAAATATTTTATTGAATGATACATTACAACATTATACAGAGTTTTTGAGGACAAGACAATGTTTATGTAATTAAATTAAGAAAACCTGAACCGAGTAGAAACTAGATATTCTAAGAACCGGTTCCCCAGTAAGTCGAGGATCGTCTTGAAAATTTTAGCGCGTTGGGTTCTATTTCGGTCTTCATAATCTACACATATTTTCTCATTTCCTTCTGATAATTAAAATACATATATTTAACACGTAACGTATGTAGGTACACTATTAAACCAAAATTCACTTCTCTAATGGAGATGGCAAAGAGAACTTTTAATGTTTTTAGTTTAGCTCCCAACTCAAACATATAAGGACACATTGATATTGATAGATAAAACGTATATTAAACACAAGCAATAGTGTTACAATAAACACAGACAACCTTATATGAATCAGTCACTATCCATTATCCAATATCAAAGGCTTTTAACATAAATACTGTAAATTATAATGCTGTTTACATCCGCTTTATTTTACGGACCTTGTAAAAGTAAAACAGGTCTGTAAGTGTCCCTACACAGTTTTCAGGCGATTTAGAAAAAATAGTATGTTTTTACTAGTACCCTGTTGATTGCATGGGTTACATTGTCACTACCACTTCTTGGTTGGATTTCAGCATGATTTCAGCAACGCATTTAGCTCTGTTGACTAAACATTTAACTTTCTTGTTGATTTCTTTAATATTCTGGTTAATATTTCCTTCCTGTTATAAATAAGTTAGTTATCTTCTTATCTCTACAGTTGCCATCAGTGTGTGAAAATCAATGATGGCTCGTTATCCTGGCATCATTTAACCGATGGTGTGCTCCAAGGCGGCATTCCCTCAACCTTTTAAATTTTTATTGTTTGATTTGGCTATTTATTTACCTAGGCGTGTATCTTATTTATAGAAGGTGATCAAAGATCATTCTGGTGTTTGGTAGAAGCCCGATAACTCCAATTTGGAAAAGTTTAGTTGTTCCCTAGCAATAAGATTCTGTTATTTAAAAAAATAATTACTAATTAGTTATATTCGCAGATTTAACTAGTTTCGCAGTTTGGAAAACCGTGATTACTTCAATTCACTTAACATTTGATTGAGTTCAGTAATGTTTTCAAAAGTAGTAACAACGGCATATAAGATCATTGAGTGGTAAACATTATTGGAACTAATTAGTAATTGACCAATTTAATAAATTCTCAATGACTCCAATTTGATCCACTTTTCATTAAATGAAGTACATTGGAGTAACCAAGTTACTTCCAACATCCACAATCCAATGTAAATAAATACTACTGATTGTGTATGACTAAGTTTCATCTAAACCGTTCATTTAGTTTTACAAGATTTTTTCTAATAATCCAAGTAACAAAATAAATGTGAAGCAGCGGACTTGTTCGTTGAATTTCACAGCCCCTAGCCACACTACAATATAACCCAGTGTTTCATCTAAAAAAATAAGTATTTTATGCCTACCTAAAACTAAAACGCGGCTAGGTGATAAAATAATATTTTGAGATATAATAAAAATCATAACCTTGTTTTCAGAATATTGAAATTGTTTAAAGATATTTCAATATGCATCGTTAGGGTAAGTTCCGATAAGTCGTACACGTTAACTAATTTTAACTGTTTTTAAAAGAGAATTCTGTGCTCTATTTTTTGCTATTTAAAACGGTTATTTGACCATTTGTCACTTTGCCGCGTTTTAGTTGGTGGACGGGATAGAGCTTAGTGTTCTATAATGCTGACGGCTCTGAACAACGAGTAGTGGATTTACGTTTTATTGCGCTGCTTTGTCATGTTTAGTTGTAATTTCCTGAGTAGTGCTGCACTCACTACCTTTAACAATAAAAGCTTTTTCAAGTGTTTTTCTTATGTATCTATTTATTTAAGGATGTCATAATAAAATGATAACTTTGTAATTTGTTTACTGCCTGGCTAAACGTAGGGTAACTTTACTAACCACGGTCTGCGTCAAATTATTTGTTTATTGTTATTATTGTTGTTATTATTCGATTACCTATCTTATTATTCGGTTACCTATGTTGAGTGTGTGCGTTATTTATTTATTTATTATTTATCTTATTATCTTCATATCTGATATTGATTATAAAGCCCATCTAGCAGTTGGTAGTATTATTATGTTTTCATTGTTTGTTAGATGCAGCTACGTCATGATATATTCAATTTTACAAAGGTAATTTTAATTACTCGAGATTAAAATTAGCCAAAATTGATTTTGTAACTTGTTATTGTATGAAAATGTCTGCAAGTAGTTTTATTGTACAAAAAAAAGAGATTTTGAAAATTTGAAATTCTAACGATTGACGATCAGGGTCCATAGCTGAAATAAAATATAAATACATGCGTTAATTTTAAGCTTATTGTAATGTAATTATCATCATGACAACATATGACTTCAACCTCTTACATGTTGACATGTTTGTTGTACCTTGCTGATTGAATACATTCAACATAATAATATTTTCATTAGCAATCGTTGCATAATGAGCATTCTTAAAGTCGAGTGCCGTGTTAGGCCACTGAGTGGCCTAATCACGGGATTTTGAGACCTAATTATGTAATGATACATGACAATACTTTTTGTACGAGTAAATAAAATAAAAAACATAACCAATATTTAATATATATTTTGTTAACAATTAGGGTAGCCTGGTTTAAGACGACGCACTTAAGGCTTAAGGTTTGAGATCGTGTAGAATGAAAACAAAAAGTGTTAGAAAATCAGCTATTGTTTTATTTTATGGTCTACTTATCTGACTCTTACATACTAGCGTGAAAAGTAGTTATATTTAACAGTGTGGTTGTAATTATAAAAAAGTGCAACGTGGGTTTTGCGTACTCTTACACTGTGCTATGGATAAGAGTACGCATGTGCGTCGGCAAGAGTACGCAACACCTTTTTTGAAAGGGCTTCGTTTATCGAAATCACGAATCACCTCCATACCTTTCTGGTAATGTGCCTTTTTGTCTCGGCATGCATGGGCCTTAGCTCATGGAGAGCTGAGAAGAGTCTACTTGTGGCGCGGACATACCTCAGTTAGGGTGGTGGTGGTGCTTCAGGTGCTCTTGCAGCCGATATTTCAGACATATTCGGAGCACATGCCTCAGGTCTGTTAAGCCTTCAAAAATACTAGACTCCCACAAAAGGTTACAGTTCATTTAGAACGAGGCGTAGCGACAGAAATTTTATTCAGAAGTACACTTTTCTAAAAAAAATGGTATGAGACTACGCGCGTACTCTTGCAACCTGTCAAATTGCGTACTCTTGCACACTTCAGCCATTTCAGAATAAAACTGCTATCAACCCCATATGTTGCAAGTGACCAGAATCGTTTGCAGTTTGACCTCTAGACGAGTTTTTGGGCGATTTCATACAAATATAGTTTTAAAAAAATATGCTTAATTTAGTCTCAGTAACAATTTGAAAATACCAAAAAGTTTTATGCAAATACATCAAAATGTTGACTTAGGTAGTTTCTTAGTTTTCAATAATTTTTGATAATTTTTCCGCACAACAAACTCTACTTACTAGCACTACAAAATGACACTGAACTTAGCTGCGTATTGTAATAACTTCTCGGCAATCTATATTCAGTACTCTTATCGGATGCGTCATCTTAGACCAGGCTACCCTATTATTCGTGACAACAAACGCGACTACATTCATAATCCTGCACTAGCGGCGGACGGCAAGGCAGAGTGCAATGCAGGATAATGAATGCCCCCTTTTAGATAGCAAAAATACGACGTTCTTGAAACTCTCTATAATTCTGTGTACGGTACTATATAATATGCATTATAGTTCTGTGTACACAACTTTAATGAATTTTTTAGCTCAGTGGCTAGTACCATTGATAATAGAATTTTTATTCAGAACTAAAATGAACGCCTTTATGATATGCCTTTAAGATATAAAAGGTTATTTTTGGTATACAATGTTTCAATCCATTCGAAACAAAAGGTAAACAAGCAAGTCACTGACCTGATCATAGACGGTTTAGTAATGGCCAATTTTACTGCCAACAAAAAATCGATTAATTGAATGAATTGATTTGTTTAATTGAGTCATATTAGCGGTTTTCCCTACATATCCTATGAAAGCATATTTATTTAAAGGTTTCGAAATCTTAATTTTAAATCCTCCTTCAAATGCTTATACTTAGACACTCGTTCAATTGCGATTGAAATTTTCGATTTACTAATCAATTACAAAAACTTTAATTGAATGAACCGAATGTTTTTTCCGTCAAGCACTTTAGTTATTATTAGATATTTTCGACCCTTAGAGTCGTATTCCAGAACTCTAATCAATGCTCAAGTCAGGACTTGATGGCAAACCTAATGGCAAGTACTTGAGTATGGTGTCTAGTGCTTAAATCATACTCAAGTTCTGACTTGAGCATTGAGTAGATTTCTGGAATACGACCATAGATATAGACTATTCATATATAGTTACTTATTCGATTTATTCAGTGATTGCTTTAGAATTGTAACCAAGATGTTTTGTTTACTTTTCGTCTTAAAATGGATTGAAACAGA